TTACTTGGAAATGGTTGAGATCCCCACCATATAACCATATATACAATTGCTGAGTATAAAGAGAGGAATGCACATTTGCTTCCAGGATGGCCCTAGCGGTTGGCCCCACCCTTGGAGACTTAACCCCTGGGTCATAACTTTGAAACGGTTGAGATCCCCAACCCAAAACTATATATACAAATGCTGGGCAAAAAGAGACAAATGCAGTCATGATATTAGAATTGATCCTGGGGTCTGGCCACAACCTTAGGGACCTAGTTTCTGAGTCACAGCTTGGAAACAGTTGAGATCCCCACCCCATAACCATACATAAAATTGCTGGGCATAAAAAATCAAATACAGATATGCTACAAGGATTGGCCGTGGGGTCTGGCATATTCCCTTGGATCTCATTTGGAGAATATTTTTCCATGACTGCTTAGATATCCAGGTGAGCTATACAGGCCCTCTGGGCCTCTTGTTATTATTATAAAAAACATACAAATTAGTTAAAACAAAATATATCTGATCAAGTAACACTACAAATCTAGCACTCTTTATACAGAGAATAATTTTGATGACATAACACTACCCACCATAATGCTCACGTTAAAGCTATACAAGTCCAACACAGTATGTTTGTATTACCCCTCATATAGATCAAACAAATACAATGTACTACAGCAAACTGAATTGTGACAGTGACTTAATTATAAAGTTACTGTAACTCTGTAAATACTGACCGATAGGAAGTATAGCAGAGCTTGCTGTCAGTAAATTATACTGCCACTGATTGTGTACTGTTTGTTTTGATTGCAAGATGGACTAAACTGTAGCTCTTACGATGTTGGGTATCGGTAAATCCTTGCACGTCATATAAAAACACGTCGTAATCTATATATTGATTTGTACTTTCCAGAGATCGTGTGCCATTTGTTTTGACCTCTGACATGGCCTTTGTGATAAACAATGGTGAGAAGAGAAGTGACCGCTTCCAGAACTTCATTGACCAGTGTTGCCAAGCCTTCAACATCCTCAGGAAAAACGCAAACCTTTTCCTGAACCTGTTTGCCCTGGTAACTTATGACCTCTAGTAACATCATACATAAAAACCTGTCTACTATCACCCTCCAGTAGATATCATCAATAAAAACCTGTCTGCTATCACCCTCCAGTAGATATCATCAATAAAAACCTGTCTGCTATCACCCTCCAGTAGATATCATCAATAAAAACCTGTCTACTATCACCCTCCAGTAGATATCATCAATAAAAACCTGTCTACTATCACCCTCCAGTAGATATCATCAATAAAAACCTGTCTGCTATCACCCTCCAGTAGATATCATCAATAAAAACCTGTCTGCTATCACCCTCCAGTAGATATCATCAATAAAAACCTGTCTACTATCACCCTCCAGTAGATATCATCAATAAAAACCTGTCTACTATCACCCTCCAGTAGATATCATCAATAAAAACCTGTCTACTATCACCCTCCAGTAGATATCATCAATAAAAACCTGTCTACTATCACCCTCCAGTAGATATCATCAATAAAAACACGTCTACTATCACCCTCCCGTAGATATCATCAATAAAAACACGTCTACTATCACCCTCCAGTAGATATCATCAATAAAAACACGTCTACTATCACCCTCCCGTAGATATCATCAATAAAAACACGTCTACTATCACCCTCCAGTAGATATCATACATAAAAACCTGTCTTCTATCACCCTCCAGTAGATATCATACATAAAAACNATAAAAACCTGTCTACTATCACCTTCCAGTAGATATCATCAATAAAAACCTGTCTACTATCACCCTCCAGTAGATATCATCAATAAGTCTAACAATCATATGTGGTTACATCTTGAGGAGTACTACATGTACACCCTTCTGTCAAATGTAGGTCACTGTGACCTATATCTTCTGCTTGACTGTTGGTCACTGTGACCTATCTCTTCTGCTTGACTGTTGGTCACTGTGACCTATATCTTCGGCTTGACTGTTGGTCACTGTGACCTATATCTTCGGCTTCACTGCAGGTCTTTGTGACCTATATCTTCTGCTTGACTGTTGGTCACTGTGACCTATATCTTCGGCTTCATTCACTTTTGTTTAGCTCTATTTCCATTAAACCTGGAAAAGCCCTGTTTGTATGTTTTACAAACTTTTCTTCTTTGTGTATGTGTAATCATCTTGTTTCAAATTGAGGTTATTTTTCTACTTGTAAGTTCTATTAATATAAGAAGATGCCAGTTTAAAACATCTTAGTTATTGGTGTGTGATGCTGAACTTGTATCTGAATTCCAGATGACGAGAGCAGGTATTCCTGGAGTTAGTGAGAATGCCGCCCTGTATATCCAGAAAGCTCTACTACCCAAACTGACCGACGCTCAAGCTTCTGCTATATTCACAAGGTAAACTAGACAATACCAGTCGGACAAATAGGCCACTTTTGAGTCACCCCTTCTTCAATAATCACCTTTGCTATGTCAGGTGAACCTTTTGGCGCAAAAGTTCATTAATATATAAACCTTAAGGATTTGTACTAGGACGCTGATATTTGGTGTGGCGGTTTCAGACGCATCCAGCATTTGTACATTGGAGCTAAGTCAGAAAAAAATATTCAAATTAGAAAACAATTTAATTGGTTATATGCAAATAAGCAAGTTCTACTGTTCTACATCAGTAGCTGTTTACTGTGTTGGAATTGTTTTCTAATTCTTCAGGAGTGGACAAATGCTTCTTTGTACTGACTTCTTTATTCCTTTTTTTGAGGAATTTTGATACGATAATTGTATGTTTCACATCTGTTTCTCTGACAGGATGATAGAGGACAGTCTGAAGTCTGTGTTTACACCGATCAACTTCTTCATCCACAACCTGGCCCAGCTTAAGTTCTCTAGTCATCAGGAAGGAGCACTACTGTCCTTTGTACCAAAGACCTACAGGTAATGTGATCAACTTTCTATAATTAGAGTTTAACATTTAATGATACTTTGTAGTGCAGGGGAGTCCAAAGACCTACAGGAAATGTGATTAACTTTCTATAATTAGAGTTTAACATTTACTGATACTTTGTAGTGTAGGGGAGTATTTTCCTTCCAAATATTATTTTATTTAGTTTATTAGTTTATTGCCTAGATATATTACAACTATACATGGACTGTCTGGAGGGATCAGTTCCAGTACACAAGCTTCCTCTCAGACAACTTACAATCATTATCACATTTCTCTCATTCATTTGTTATATTTTGCCTCCAATTGCAATTGGCAATACTGTATGTGTTCGCAATAAATATAACAGAAACTATCAATAATTACCATTTTTTTTTTATTAAAAACTCCCACAACAATAGCACATTACGTATACACTCACATTCATGTACATGAACCAGGTATATTAATGCAAAAATCTAACTTATCCAACTGTATTCTATATATAGATTCTTTGTTTGAAGTCATTTTATTTATGTCATAAAGGAATGTACTTACATTTTTGATAATTTTTTCCAGTGCCAACACGGATGGTAAATTGAAACATGTATCACTACACAGCTACCAGAAACGTTATGAGCCAGATAAACACTATGTAAGTCAACTCTAGTCTTTAATTTAGAAGTTGTAGCTATATCCCTCACTTAGGTAGAGAGGGATTAATGGAATCTCCCCCTACCTTGAGGGTGTGATAAGAAATCTCCAACACAAGGGGTGATGTTTTTGGTTGTCTAATCTGAGGCTCTGCCGAGGGTTAGACAACTAAAAAATCACCCCGAGGGTTGGAGATTTCTCTGTTACACCCTCAAGGTAGGGGATGATTATTTTTCTCCCATCCTATGATTTCAGTCACAGCTCCACCGACAGTAGTCTGCCATGTGGGGTATGCATATCGTCTTTCACTTTTGATGACATCACACTTACCGATGATGCATTTTAATGATGTCACAATTGAACATGTGCTAATCGGCACGAGGCTATCTCCCCCTAGGGGGTGACAAGCTGATCTTTCCCTGCCAAAACGGAAGACACACCTGTGAAGAGTGGGAGAAATATATATCTATTGCTATGTCTGTGTGTCCATCTGTTTATCTCTTCATAGCATCAATCTTGTGTACATGATGTCTCACAAACTCCTTGACAAATTTAGTTAATATTTACACCATAGTGTGATATTATAAAGTACTACACTTGTATAAATTTTGAAGTTTAAAGGGTCAAAGGTCACATTTGACCACTTCGGACAGGTGGGGGCTATATCTATGTGAGCCCCTCTCATTTTGTTTTTATTCAAATTACCAATCAGCAAACTCCAATTGAAAATCTTTCATATCAACTTACCAATAACATGGAAGATGTTATCTAAATTTTTATTTATTTATTTCAGATTTTTATCTTCAAAGTGGAACGAGAAAGCCAAAAATTGCCTACATATGTCTTCCGACATTATTCTGAACTGGTGGAGTTCCGCACTCGTATAGTAGAGCTCTTCCCATTGGTCAGTTGGCCACCTCTTCCAAGCAGGTAAATAGTTACTGTGTATCAGTGACATTGGTATAATAGCATCTCTGGCCCCCTTGAGGGTGAGATAGGGGAATCTCAACCCGAGGGGGGAGATTCTTTAGTTGCCTAACAGGAGGCTTCACCGAGTGTTTGGCAACTTAAGAATCTTTCCCGAGGGTTGAGATTTCCCTATCTCGCCCACAAGGTTGTGAATGATTCTTTTTCTCTTACCCTGTTCATCCATTGTGTATCATATATACAATGTAATGATAACGTTACATGCTAAAATTCAGGGTTGACGTGATGTTGATGGATTGTTGACGTGACGTCATTGTATTGTTGAAGTGACGTCATACCATTGTTATGAATAGGGGAATCCCCCCGTCTGAACCCTAGGGTGAGACAAGGAAATCTCACACCGGTAAAAGTGGGGATACACCTGTCCAGGATAAGAGAAATATGAAGTAACAATAGGTATTAAAACCTTTTCTGTAATTTGTATACAATACAATACATGTACTTTGTATATACAGTTTTGCAGTCCTATGTGTTTAGATACTGTACACCGGGAAACTTTCACCTTTGTCAAACTTTCGCCCTTCACCCATACAATCATGTTAGGCCCTAAGTTTATATCGCCCCTCACATTACTTTGTATATCATGCTGTATACTAACATTCACTTCATTATTTAATTCGCACTCATCACGGAGGGCAAAAAAGGAGAAAATTCAAAAATTAAACCAAATATCAAAATATTTGATTTTTAGCTCAAGCTGGTCCGAAGGACCAAGTTGAGCTTATGCCATACCGTGGCGTCCATTTTCCGTACGTCCGTACGTCAACAATTTCTTTAAACGACTTCTTCTTCTTAACCACTGATTGGAATTCAACTAAATTTGACTGGAAGCATCCCTAGGTGGTGGGAATTCAAAATTGTACAAATGGTGGGGCTGAGGGGCAGGGCCAAAAGGGTCAATTTGGATATATTGATTTAAGCGACTTCTTCTCTGGAACTAAGAAATGGATATCAACCATATTTGACTGGAAGCATCCCTAGGTAGTGGAGATTCAATATTGTACAAATGGTGGGGCTGACCCCCTAGGGGGCTGAGGGGCGGGGCCAAAAGGGGGCAATTTGGCTATATTGCTACAAACAACTTCTTCTGTAGAACTATGCACTGGATATCAATCATATTTGATCAAAAGCATTCATGGGAGNCCCCCCCCCCTCCCCCAATAAAAAGCTAGTAACTACACATATATGGCAGTGTGTGTTTGGGTAACATACAGGTGCTCTCCGTATAGAGTTTGTTTATTCAATAAGTTTTCGATTGATAAAGTCCCACTCGCTTTAAAACTTAACACCGTCTTACACGGAGTAAACACACAGTTAAAGATTGTTCTTACAGGATCTTTTTGTCTACCAGAGTCCACAAATGTTTCCTATAGTGAAATAAACATTAGTTTAAAACTCCTCATGTCTTGGTGTAAAACACATTTTTACATTTTCAGCATTTTTAACTTAAGGTTCAACAAGCCCCCTAAAAGAGTTAATAGTCACCCTAAATTTCAACCCCATGGCAAGTCATATTCAAATATTCTATCACAAATCGGAATAAATGTATATATATGTAATTTAAATACATTGAACTTGTACATGAGCTATTAAAAAGGTATATAACCAGGTCAACAAAGTCAAAAATACGACGTTAAGGCTGATGTTATGATAAAAGTTGCTCACCAGATTTATAACATGTCAATCTCCTAAGTGACCCAACTTAATGTTACGAAATGACATGTTATTTGAAGATCATTTATATACCTAGGTCATGCGGGGCTTTATTTCTCTTTAACTATGTGTGGTGATGCATACAAGCCTCACAAGAAGGTGATTGTTGCTGTGGGAATGTACAAAAATCATAGTAAAACGTCCGTGTAACATATTTTACCGGTATATATGTGTAAAATCATAGACATTTGACCATAAATACAACTTAAACTTCATATAAAATGTCCTTTCTTAACATTCAATGTTGTAATAAAAGAGCTAGATTTGTTATAAACATTATCGTACTTTTCAGCTTCAATGTTTATAACATGTCTAGTGCATTCATATAATCACATAATGTTATCAAATGGCACATCATCTAAAGTTCATTTATCAATCAAGGTTACTTAGCCATTGTTTTCTTATTTAAAATTTGCTAAAATGTATAACCAGGAGATTTTATTATGATTTATGTGGTTTCGCATGGCAACATCTATCTTTATTTGTGGTCAGAATTCCTCTCAACAGCTAGTAGAAGAGAAATAAAGCTCTGCATGACCTAGGTATATAAATAAACTTAAGATTATGGGTCATTTCCCAGCATTCCGTTGGGTTGCAAAAGAGAGTGACATGTTATAAGTCCAGTGAGGTATTTTTATGAAAACATCATGCAGCCTTAATGCCTTTTTTTGAGTACGTTAACCTGGCTGTGTATTTTTTGTATGGCCAATGTACAAGTTCAATATATACAAATAACATATGTGAGTTCCGATTTGTAATTGAGGTCTTTGAACATGACTTACCAGGGGGTTGGAATTTTAGTTGACTACGTCATCTTTTAGGGGGCTTGTTGAACCTTAACATACCATGAGTAAGATATTTTTCAAAAGATTCAGAATATATTGTTTGCCTTTTTTAGATTTTCATATCATTTTCATTTTCTAGATTGGTCATTGGTCGGTCACAAGTCAAGTCAGTAGCCGAGTCCAGGAAGCCAGAGATAGAAAAATTTCTTGCTGAACTTTGGCAGAAAACTGCAGAGATAAAAGAGGTATGTTGTACTGTTAAATTTGTAAAGTATTTTGATCAGTTTCATAGTGTGATGTTTCATTGTGTAACGGAAGTGTTTGGATTTATTCTGTGGATTAACTGGAATATTCAGACATGTTTTATAGAGTAAATGGAATAGTAAGATATGTTTAGGGAGTTATTGAAGTGTCTATATTTGTATGAAGTATTTCAAGTGTTATAGCTGACAGCCAATACCATAGTATTAAAACACTTAACATATTTGTTTACAGCCAGCACTGAAGTATTTAAACAAATTTGAAAAAAAAAACTTTGTATAGGAAGAAAGTTAAATTAATCAAATATATATTTTTCCCCAATCCTTACTTTCAGAGTGATCTGGTATACACGTTCTTCCACACACTACTGCGAGACGAACAGGAATCACAGATTGAGAAACTGGACACACAGAAGAGGAGAGGTAAGATTGTGGCTTCCTATACACTGCTGATCATTGAACCCTGAGGCCTGATCAGTGTATTTTGTTTCCCTCTGATAAACATTGGTAGATACTGCCATACTATAGTCTAAATAATCTGTCTCCAGTAAAACTACTTCCAAAATCAGTAAGGTAACAAGGCTTTGTATTTTACATCATGGGAGATAAATAAAAAGGGAAGCAAACAAACAGAGGTATAAAGAAAGGAAAAGTTTATAAAGATATTTATAAAACAATTTCTGTGTTTTCTGTTACCTGTAGGATAGCGATATGCTGCCATACATGTATATAAGTAGTAGGTTGAGAGGTATGCTGTTTACAAACTATCACTAACTTGTCTTGCTTTTGCTCGGGTACATAATAAATTAATAAGCTACCCTCACAAGAAATGCCTGTGAACTTATGCTATGGCATAATGACTGTATTATTTAAAACACCTTACTCTTAAGAACCATAATGCCAAAAGTCATGACTTTTAACCTGCAGCTTAATGATGGTTGGGTTAGTTTTATTCAGGTGAATGACTATGGCTCACTTTCAATTTCTTAATTATTAAACTAGTCCATTTGATGGAAGCTAAGTATTTAAAATATTCCAGAGATTGATTTGTCCAATCCAACATTCAAGCCATGCAAATATGATGTAACCATTTGGTAGTTCAAATATTATTAAAGTGTCTATTAATTGAAACACTATTCTCAGCCTTGTTAAGACATTTATAGGCTGTGCTTTACAATATTACCATTGAAACAAAATTATTTCTATACTTTGGGTTGTTTTATACAAAATTTTACAGCATAAAGATTTTAAGGAAATATGATCAATGACCTACTAATGCTTACTTTTTGTATATTTAAAAAAAAAATGAAATCATAATAAATTTTAGGTAAAGGATTGAAAAGGAAATCTGAAGACCACATACAGTAAAACACACACAAATTTTGTAAATGTGCATGTATTTCTCAAAAGATTACACTTGAAAATTTGTGTTAACAATTTGTTCCACTAACGAAACTTGGGACTACCTGACCCATACGTACACTTTATGTTCCAGTAAATCCTGTTCAGCTTATCCAGCATCCGAACCAGTTTGGCCAGCTCAAGCTGTCCCTTCTGTATTCAAAGGAATCCCTCATGGTCAACATCATGCATGCCAGGAACCTGGTCAGTCATCATCTGATGTGTTTATGCCCCTGCCACATAGTGGAGGGGTATTAGAGGATTTCATGTCTGTTTGTCCCTTGGTTTGTCTGTCCTTATGTACATACACTAGCTTGTTTACACTTTGTATTCTATAACTCTAATAGGACAAACCCAGCAATCATCAAACTTCATATATGGAGATGTAGCGAAGAGTACTACACTGTTATTTGAAATGTAGGTCACTGTGCCCTGTAATTTCAACTTTGCTGAATTTCTATAGATAATGGTTTTGATTCCATTTCCTCCAAGAGGGAGTGAGGGTATATCAATGTTTAACAGGCATTTTCTAATGTAAATAATTTTAATTCATTAGATATAACCCATATCACTGTAATCACTTGTGAAATCTGGTTTGTCTGTCCAGTGTATTGAAGAGTTTTCAAGAAAAAGACCCCAGCAAAACTTTGATTTTTCTCACATTAAGTTTCTTAAATAATTGTTTCAGTTTTTCTACACATTAACTTAATCAAATAACGAAACCTCGTTATACTGCCAGCATTTGTAAAGAGAAATGTTGGCATTATAAAGGGGTTTTGCGATAACCTGATGGAAACATATTAAGGAATCGTTAAGAAAACAAGAAAAAATGGGACAGTGGAATATGTTGGCAGTAAAAGAGTCGGCCAGTAAAGTGAGAGGCATTATATTGATGTTAACTGTATGCCCAGATTCTGATGAAACTGGGTCGTTATTCATATTATACCAAGACAAAGGCTAAGTTTAAAGTTGAATGAAATCTGTGCTTGACAATTGACAAATATTTAATATTCTGCCCCTGTGGTACTATTGTTAACTTTGACAATGTGTTTGTCAGTCTGCTTCAAAAGGCATTGTATACATTGTATAACTTTGGACAAATCATTTGATAATATGCACACAGTACAAGGTAATAATTAAAGAAACTTTTCTACTATAGGTTGCTAGATTTATTTAAAATAAAATATATAAATGGATCAAAGAGAATTGTTGGTGGTTATGCTAGTATGAATGCCAATCAGCTCCATACTGGAACATAGAACATGTGTAACGGCTTTGATACCATCTCTGGTTGATTAATTTAGTCCTGTGGTGAATGGAAAGAACTAAGACAATTAGACCCAATATCATTTTATACTTACTTTCTCTCCAGCCTGGTACTCCTGTGCCGCCGAGTCCCTATGGTAATTTTATACTTACTTTCTCTCCAGCCTGGTACTCCCGTGCCGCCGAGTCCCTATGTGAAAACCTACGTACTTCCTGACCCAGAAAAGCAAACAAAACAGAAAACAAAGATAGTCAAGTCGTCAACACACCCAACCTATAATGAAGTGGTAAGATTTCTTATAAATGTATATATTTCATCCACCCACTTATACGATTAAATGAGACAGTCATGAAATTGCTGCACATATTTCTTGTCCAATTATTGGTATCTGCTCACCCAGAAGCTAAATCTGTTTATTTAACACTTTAATTTCTGGAGGTTAACCAGAATTGCATTGAGGACTTGACACAGTTATTAAGATATAGAGTGCTCTAAAAATATTATTACCATGGAGGCATTAATATAAAATATAAAAGTCAATCTCTGCAGATATTTTGTTTGTAAAATACGTCTTTCAATGCACTCTACTGATTTACAGTTTAAGTTCAAAATTTGAATATTGAAAAAAAAGAAATACTAAGAAAAAACAGAAATTCAGGTGTTGAACTTGGAATCTGTCAACTATGGATCATACACAAATAGCAATGTTTCCTTGCTAGGACTGTAACTCTAAGCAAGAAAAACTTAACTCATTCACCCCTGAAATTTCATAATGAATTATTCCAACCTTTGAATTGGAAGAGTTCAAATGTGTCTTCAGGGGTAAATGAGTTAAGTATATGGGAAAACTCCAAGTTGAATAAACAGCTGTGAAGTGAGAGTTTTCTTTGAGATTTTAAATTTTGCAGTGGTACTCTTTACCTTAAAGATAATATCTTTTTAAAGAAAATTTACATTTAATAACATTATGTGATTATATGAATGCGCTAGACATGTTATAAACATTGAAGCTGAAAAGTACGATAATGTTTACAACAAGTCTAGCTCTTTTATTACAACATTGAATGTTAAGAAATGACATTTTATATGAAGTTTAAGTTGTATTTATGGTCAAATGTCTATGATTTTACACATATATACCGGAAAATACTTAGGATATCATAATTAATAAATTGATACAGTAAACTTTGTTTAGAATTATTTTAGGGGACCTTTAAGTAATCTGTTTCTATATGGCTACATGTACTTGAAATGGTTATAGAATTTGATGTTCATAACAATTTGTTACTGGGGACAAAGATCTCACTTTGTTGTAAGCAAGAATTCACACAAAGCAGATTTATATTGAGCATTTTGCTGTGTACAACAAATACTGAAATTTAAATGTATCATGTATTTGTAGATTGAGTACAAAATGGCATTGTCAGATCTTCAACACAGGACATTACAAGTGAGCGTATGGGACCATGATATTATGAAGGAGAACAGTTGTCTGGGGGCAATCTACATCAAGTTACGTAGCCAAAACCTAACCACAGAGACCGTCAACTGGTTTCAACTCCACAACATACAGATCACCGATTCCTCCACACTGGCATAAAGTAGAAATAGCGGAACATACAGATCACCGATTCCTTCACACTGGCATGAAGTAGAAATAGCGGAACATACAGATCACCGATACCTCCGCACTGGCATGAAGTAGAATAACAACAGGTACTGGACTCAAACTCCTCGACACAAATGCAGAGAGCCTTGTACTAACTGGCATTAAGACTTCTCCACAAAATGTGTGTCATGTTTCTTATATGAAAAAGGAAAACAAATGGACTCTGTTGCCAATGTGAATTCAAACTGTATAGCAGATTCCTGCTTGATTTTAGTGTGGAATAGAGGTTGCCAACCTTATGAAACCAATAACAGAATTCTACAAAAGTTAGATATTGATTTTTATAACACTATGTATGGTGTATGGTCGTTTGAAATCTTTACATTAGCGTAAATGTCATAATCTTTATAAATTATTGGTAATAATATTTTATTTCATCTCTAGTCTAAAAATGTACATTTTGTATATAAATATTGACACAGTTTACTGAGTATGATGTCAAGAATTTGTTATTTTAAAAAATACTGTAAAAGTCTTTTATTTGTGGTGTCTAATTTTAGCAGATTTGCTTAAGTGTCAATTTTTTATGGGATCTGTATTTTGCGGATTTGAGATGAAGTGACATGGCACAATGTTCTGAAGTAAAAATGGATTAAATTGCTTTTTATTTCATTGGTTGAAATTTTGGTTTAAAAAAAATTCTCCTGCAAAAATCTTGAAAAATAGAACCAAGTGGAAAAAGTCATCTTTATAGTAAAACTTTGGCAATTATTTTTAGCTCACCTGGTCCGAAGCTTTGCCATACCGCAGCGTCATCCGTCCGTCGTTTTTGACTAAATTTGGTCTGGAGCATCATTGGGCCAAGGGGACTAAATTTTCTATAAACAGTGGGTGAGGCCCTTCTGGGGGCAGAGGGGAGGGGCCCAAAAGGGGAAACATAGCAAATTCTTCAAAATCCTTCTTCTTCTGTAGGAATGACAGGATTTTGTCCAATATTTGGCAGAAGCACCCTTTGGAGAAGGGTTACCAATTTTGTATAAACGGGGGGTCTGTCTTCCCTTGGGGCAGAGAGGCGAGGCCCAATAAGGGATATAGAGGAATAGCTTTAATATCCTTCTTCTTCTGTTGGGATGAATGTCTTTGACCAAATTTGAACAGTAGCATCCTATGGGGAAGGGAAATCAACTTTGTTTAAATGGTGGGTTTGGACTCCCTGGGGGCAGAGGGGCGGGGTCAAATAGGGAAAATAGAAAAATAGCTCTAAAATCCTTCTTCTGTAGGAATGACAGGATTTTGTCCATATTTTGTCTAAAGCATCCTTGGGTGAAGGGGACTTAATTTCTGGCAACATCTGGCTATTTTAACTTCAATTTTGCTAACATTTCCAGGTGAATGATACAGGCCCTCTGGGCCTCTTTTTAAGAGATAAATTGTTTATATTTTGTTACATTAATTATATTGTTACAGAGAATACTTTAGTGCTAGAATCACTGCTGAGACAACATTAAACACAAACATCTCATCATGTACATTTTTCATAGATTTGCCATTGTAGTTTACTGTCAGATATTTTTTCTTGTGGACCACATGAACGTCTGTGTATACATGTTATATCAGTTTATAAAGTAAGAATTAATCGTCAGCTGCTGAACTGTCCTGGTGTAAAATATACATGTTTATAAATAACTCGGAATATTCATAAACCTGTGTAAACAGATCCCTTTGTAATCCTCACAATCACGTTGTGTGTTTACATACCTTTACTGTGACCAGTTAAGATATAAACTGACCGCTGCATTTAAAGGTTGTCATTGTATAATTAGTGTTTACTGTTTTTTTGGTTTTTTTATGATACCACAATATTTTGAAGTATTTTGTTGAAGTTATTTAATACCACAAAACTAGTGTCAAAAACAGTTGAAAAGGGAAAGTAAGGACAGAATGAAAACATACTTAAATTCTTGGCACAAGAACTGTTGCCCCACTATAGAACTGTTGCCACTTGGGAGGATGGATTAATAAAGTCAGATTTAAACAGTAAAGAGATGATTTGTGGGTTGACACTTTGACAGCGACATCCACTCCTTGGTCAAACTTACTAGTGCTTTCTCAAACTTGAGAACAGGCTTAAATTTTGTTAACTGCATTATCTTGCAACGGCAGAGTGATGAATACTAAAAAAGGATTTTGTGCCCCATAAATACAGAATTATCTCCTTTTGTTAATTTTTTGTTTTTCTGGATCATTAATCCTGCACTATTACACTTACTTCCACTAAACTTGTTATGCTTCTGTATCTAGAGTTGCGTAGTGTCGCTCACCAATTTCAGGATGTTTTATTTCTTGTTAGGAAAGTCTTGACAACAATAACATAATCGCTACATCCATAGACTGGTGAGGACTATGGATTGCTTGAAAAGCTTTGCGTTGTTGTAAATATACTATTACAGTAAAATTCGAACGTTTTATTTGTAAATACCCTCCACCAGTCAGGTCAGAATGTTTTTAGGATCCTGATGACTTTATCCTATGATGTCCTTTTTTCCTGAACAGACATTTACGTTATACATGTGTCCAGTTTTTCTTCCTCATTCTATATGTGCCAATTTCAGCATGATCAATATGTGTACCAGCAATATTTTTTGTTTATTCTTTCCATATTGACATATGCACATCTTTCAGTGATATCCATTATAACGTGATATATTATTTGACCCATCCAATTATTTGTACATTTTACATTTGTAAACATAGTCATCCATTATTATGCTGATGGAGTTGTTATCATATGATGGGGAAATACTGTTAAATGTTCCCCTATGTAAATTAGATATTGTTATTGTATAATATAATTATCTCCATTGCAATAGATAACCAGGAACTTGTTCTTCACAGCCTGATAAGCTTAACAAATTTGAAACAAAACAATTCAAAATTCAATTTTTCAGAAATGTTTAAAAAAATGTTTTTTGTTTTTCTGTCTGTAGGTGATCATTTGATTCTCTATGGATACAGTTTTTGTTTATGAATTTAATATTTTTAAACATATACTTGATGGAAATATTTTGTGACGTCTTTGTTAAGCTAACCAGGCATTGATGTAATTATTGTTTATTTTTTTACTAGGTAGTTATTTGTTGCTTGTTCAAGACATATTAGATGTATACAAGTGTTAGATTTTGTTTGTATGTATTCATAACAGCGCACCAACACCAAAATTCATTTTTGGAGACAATATAATCAATAATTTTACCTGATTATAATTTTTAGACATTCTGCAATAGATCATAATTGCAATAAAGTCAGATTTCAGGGCTAAGAAAGCTGTCACCATCACCTGTGCTTTGTTTAAGTATCTAAACAATGGTACCAATACTAATTGTCTCTGCTACCCTGTCTTTATACAATTATTTTACAGTTGTTCATCTAGTAAATTAACCATGTCTGCATAATGGATGTATTTACCTGGGGTAGAATTTTTAAGTTACTGAAAGGTTGTTTAGGGATTTAACATATACAGCATATAAACAGCATATACAGCATACAAACAGCATATACAGCATATAAACAGCATATACAGCATATAAACAGCATATACAGCATACAAACAGCATATACAGCATATAAACAGCATATACAGCATATAAACAGCATATACAGCATACAAACAGCATATACAGCATATAAACAGCATATACAGCATATAAACAGCATATACAGCATACAAACAGCATATACAGCATATAAACAGCATATACAGCATATAAACAGCATATACAGCATACAAACAGCATATACAGCATATAAACAGCATATACAGCATATTCAAAATTCAAGAGTTCACTCCTAAAATCCCATTCATGTTCTCTGCGCTCTTACAGACGATGCCAGCTGACTAGTCCTATATACCTGTGATCTCAGTGAAATGCTGCACGGGTAAATCCCTTTGGTAATCTCCAAGACAGCGCTGTTCATCAGCATTGTGATAGGTCTGTCTTTGGATGTCTTAGGATGTCTAGTCTAATTGCTAACCTTGAGTCTGTTATTTTGTCATGACACATTCCAAGGACGCAGAGTGGATAGGTTAACAGGAGAGCAAAGCCCTTGGTTTTCAAAGATAACTTCTACAGGGATATCTGATGATAACATCTACAGACATATCATATGATAGTAGTGTTTTACTGAAGTTCTAAAGCAATTAATGACTCACACTATACAGGTATACCAAGCTATGATAGCCCTTCTTACAACTGTAAAGGGAATGGAATTATTCCTACATGAATTCCTACCTGTATTCCTACCCGAATTCACAAATGTTTTTTAAATATTAGTGCTGTGGGAAATAGATAACTGACCATGGAGTTAAATTATCAATGGTCTAAGCTACTTTTGTTTCTGAATTCTAGTTAATAAGTTTAACTTTCGTTGCTGAAAGGGTAAGTCTTACACAAGGTCTATATGCCTACAGTGTTAATGTGAGGAACAGTTTCCCTGTTTAGTTATGTGAAATGTTCTGATGTTCTTGGCACACTTGGCACAAAGTGCCTGTGACTTTATATGGTGGGAGGCAGCATTCATCTTCCTGCGATCAATTTTTATCATTGAAGGTACCAGGGTCTTGATATTTGGTCCTTGACATACAGTGCTGTAAAGTTTCCTTATATAAATCTGTTTACCTGGATTTCAACCCGATCTGTTGTGAAGGTGTCCAGAATGGAGAAAATTTTACAATTCTGCTTTTAATGAATATTCAGGTAAGCCATACTGGCCTTCTGTGCCTCTTGTTATAGTGTATTGTATATAAAATTGATTTGACAGACAGATCAGTGCATTCAACTAGCTGTTATTTTATCTGAGTTGTTTCTATTTTTCGGTTTTGATTCTAATGATCAAAAATTGGAACTTAAGATTAAACAAACCTTTTATCCGTGAGTTGAATATGAAAATTGAAATTCTCCAAACTTTTTTTTCCATTTACTGGTATTTGGCTTTTAATAGTGCTTATTTTGTATAACAGAAAATGAGTATCAGAAAATGTTTGAATTTTGTGACATTTACAATAAGGTCACTGTTTATGGTTAATGTAAAGCTTACTCACAGCCGTTTACTGTTAAATGGTAAAAAGAGAATGCAGTTGGTGACCAAGGGGGGCCAGTTCAGGAAAAAGGATTAGTGCAGCAAATTCAGTATAAAATTCCATTATTGTAAAAATAAATCCAATCATGATAGAATTATCAAACTTCGTGATTAAAGTATTTAATCACAGATTTTGCAATTAAACATTCGAATCTAATCTAATTAAGATACAGGGAGTTGAAAAATTCATTTCAGTTTTAAAATATTTTTATAGCAATTTATCCACACAATCTTACATAACTACCACTATCATCATATTGATATGTCTGAACTTTTAATCAGAAGTGGTTGCCTATATATCAGGATCAATTAGCATTTGTTCCTCGCAGTCTGTATGATTGTCTATCACTATACTGTTGTCTATAATATTAACATCATTATACCTGTTTTTAAAAATTTGGATGTAAGATAAAGCAAATTAGATTACAAAGTGCAATATTCACGAATGTCAATCACTCAAGTTGGTGACTTGCTGGAACATGGATAATCTGTGGTATACATGTAATGTTCTTTGGTAAACTGTAAATTGTACATGCAATTCTGCTTTTTTAATTTTTAAACATACATACATTTTCCTGATTGTGTTCAATTCAAGTACTAAAGATTAATAGGGAAACCAGAAGCTTTGTTTAAATGTTTCTAAATAAATGATTGCTCCAGATAATTAAAATTTTGATCAACTTAAGTTTGATTAAATTTGAAGGATGACACATGAAGTATATTTGATTTAGATAGGTTTGAATGCTCCAGGCAAACTTAGGACTAAGAATATTGAATTATGATTTTATTATGTACACAATTATTAATGACAATTGAAATTAACCTGTAGTATTTTTTTGTAAGAATGATTCGAAATGCATTTATACCATATGTCAAAATTATACCGGATATATGATGTATTTATGGAACGTCCAGCCCACCCCTCATGTGCACCAAGCTTTAACAGCTTTGAGAGTAAAATAATCACTGAAGCTTACTCTGTAGATAGCTTCTATTACTGTATATTGAATTTGATTACATTTTTGACTGTGATATCATTATCATAACCTTGATAATAAAACCATTTTTCACACTTTGTCTTTATGCTTTTTATTAACAAACATGATGTCAGTGATAATATTTTTAGTGTAAAAGCTACTTGTATAGAGTATCTGAGCGGATTTTCATTAAATATAGCTTGAAACACTGTAAGTCCAAGGGTAGCTAAGGGGACATTACGGTAAAGATTGTTCATTAAAAATCATACATCTTTTGAATCGGCAAAAGTTTCCAATTCGGTCCATGGTTCCAACCAACCTTTCAAGCTACAGGCCACATATCCTTATTCAAGCGTTGTGGTTCATTTAGAGTTGTTTGAAGAACTTACCTTATGGGCCTGTGACTTTGAATGTGGGAGATCAGGGTATAAACCACACGTTATCACCTCACCCCAGCAACATAATGTCAAACATGACTACGCATGGCCTCATGGTTAAGTAGAAGTCATTTGAAGATTTCTACACATTGGCCTCTCTGGTATTGATTGTACATAGTAGGTAAGTGTCATAACATTGATAAAAAGATAGGCTTTCATGTGTTAAAACTCAATAAGAAATCTTGACTTAGGCGTTATGGCTCCTAAGACAAACTCCAGTACTGAAGACTGAGTTCCTGTAAACTGTAGAGTGGTTATTGTAACATGCCGACCACCCCACACCACCCCAACCCTGCATTTACATAGCAGAAAACAGCTCTATTGTAAGTGAGCTTCAAGCTCACATAATGTAATACGACAATATTTAATCACTATATCAGCTAGGCAGGATACTTAGGGATTATGCATCTACCCGAGTTCTAATACAGAACAACTTGGATCAAGCGGAATGATAACACAGCAATGATTTGGCCAAAATTAACCTAATTCATATTGCATAGCGATTTATTTTGTTCCCTACTGGGACAACAGAGTCAACAATACAAAATAAAGCTTGGCGAACCGAACATATTTTAATATATATGCAATCAGTAGCTATATTATAAAAACGACAATAAGTCTTGATCATAACCATCTCCCTTTAAATAAAGGGGTCATATTATTTACTTGTTCTTCCGGTCAAACTTCCAGTTCCTAAAAAATATATTGCTCCCATCCTGTTACATTTATGACATTCATGGTGAGATGACACTTTAAGAATATCTGCATTACTCACAGAAGGTGCGTCGTGTACTATAATTATAATCTCCCACATAGGTGCGTCGTGTACTATAATTATAATCTCCCACACAAGGTGCGTCGTGTACCATAAATATAATCTCCCACACAAGGTGAGTCGTGTACTATAATTATAATCTCCCACACAAGGTGCGTCGTGTACTATAATTAAAATCTCCCTCAGAAGGTGCGTCGTGTACTATAATTATAATCTCCCACACAAGGTGGGTCGTGTACTATAATTATAATCACCCACAGAAGGTGCGTCGTGTACTATAATTATAATCTCCCACATAGGTGCGTCGTGTACTATAATTATAATCTCCCACACAAGGTGCGTCGTGTACCATAAATATAATCTCCCACACAAGGTGAGTCGTGTACTATAATTATAATCTCCCACACAAGGTGCGTCGTGTACTATAATTAAAATCTCCCTCAGAAGGTGCGTCGTGTACTATAATTATAATCTCCCACACAAGGTGGGTCGTGTACTATAATTATAATCACCCACAGAAGGTGCGTCGTGTACTATAATTATAATCTCCCACATAGGTGCGTCGTGTACTATAATTATAATCTCCCACACAAGGTGCGTCGTGTACCATAATTATAATCTCCCACACAAGGTGCGTCGTGTACTATAATTATAATCTCCCACACAAGGTGAGTCGTGTACTATAATTATAATCTCCCACAATTATAATCTCCCACACAAGGTGCGTCGTGTACTATAATTATAATCTCCCACACAAGGTGAGTCGTGTACTATAATTATAATCTCCCACAATAGGTGCGTCGTGTACTATAATTAAAATCTCCCTCAGAAGGTGCGTCGTGTACTATAATTATAATCTCCCACACAAGGTGGGTCGTGTACTATAATTATAATCACCCACAGAAGGTGCGTCGTGTACTATAATTAAAATCACCCACAGAAGGTGCGTCGTGTAATATAATTAAAATCACCCACAGAAGGTGCGTCGTGTACTATAATTAAAATCTCCCACGGAAGGTGCGTCGTGTACTATAATTAAAATCTTCCACATAGGTGCGTCGTGTACTATAATTAAAATCTTCCACAGAAGGTGCGTCATGTACTATAATTAAAATCTCCCACAGAAGGTGCGTCGTGTAATATAATTAAAATCACCCACAGAAGGTGCGTCGTGTACTATAATTATAATCTCCCACACAAGGTGCGTCGTGTACTATAATTAAAATCACCCACAGAAGGTGCGTCGTGTACTATAATTATAATCTCCCACAGAAGGTGCGTCGTGTAATATAATTATAATCTCCCACAGAAGGTGCGTCTTGTAATATAATTCAATTCACTCATAGAAGGTATGCCCTGTACTACAAATTAGTCACCCACAGATGGTGCGTCGGAACTCTTATCAAACACCCAAAATGTACTCTAATTGGTCACTTCAAATTTTATCTTAAGGCAAAATGTCAGTTGAGTTGAGATTGTTTTGAATTTCATCAAAATCTTGTTCTGGCATAATATTTCAGCTGTTCAGCATATCTTGTTCAGGAATTCAGGATTATCCATTGCACAAAATAACATACATAGTGTTCTAATGTAAAGTCAATGTGATAAAGGTCAAATAAGCGTTAAATTTATTTTTCTCGTGAACAAAATGCATTATTTACTACTGAGCAGCTAGGAATAAGATGTATATGAAAGGAAGCAACCATTTGCGCAACAAATATAATCTCTAGTCATTATTAATTTAACAACCTCTTGTTATGTTAATAAAGCTATCGGGGTGTCACAAAAATCTGTAAAGCTCTTCCATTTATCAAAGCCAACATGGCAGATAATGTTCTTGAATGTTATAAAAGGTGAAATAAATTGCAGAAAAACGGTGTCCATAACCACTTAAATCTCTTCTAATCATCATGGTAAAACGTGCATCCCCAGAAGTATGTTATCCTTAACCCTTTCACCACTGTAGACAATAATGAACACGTCAAGATCAATGCATGGTAGAGTCTACTAAAGTTACATAGGAATGAAAGGGTCAGACCTGAATATATAACACCAAAATACTTTCTTTCTGAGTAACGTAAAATTACATTATATATCATCACCAATAATGGTACATTCCCCTTTTAAAATTCTGTCAAAGTCCTATACTCGAAATACTTTTTAAGATGTTTCATCTGGTAGATTGCCCAAGGTCCATATTCCTCGACAATGTGCTCTTCTCCCTTTCCTGTAGCCTTGGTCATGAAATTCAAACCAATGTCTCCTTCATACCGTGGCTCCAAGAAAAACGGAATCGAGAATCTATCAACTCCGATGTCAATCACTCGGTGTCGTGTTGCTTTGAAGCGCCCTCCCATCATGCGTGAAAAGACATCCCCGATGTTCATGATGAGACTCCCAGGACGTGGCTCAATCTCTGCCCACTTTCCATCTGTCGTGAGCACCTCCAAACCTTTGTAGTTAAATGTTGTCAGCAGGGTGAGAAAGTTGGAGTCTGTGTGGTCCGGGGTCGTTACGACTTTCCCATCCTCAATCCGAGCATTCGGTGGTGGGTTTCCATTCCAAGGTGGATAATGGATCAAGCGGAATGTAGAACAAGGCCGTTTGGAAAATATTTCATCAAATGAAAACTCATCAATTCCAAGACCGATTGACGTGAGTCGTAAAATCTCCAGAGACAGTTGGTGCAAAACCTCGTAGGTATCCAACAGGAATGTTTTGAAAGGGAAGCTGCCATCTTCTTTTGGCCAAACTGATGGTTCATAAAACCAATTACCTGGTGCAACCTCTGGGTCATTGGGTTCAATATCTTTTCCAAATTCAAACCCTTCCTTTCTACTTGGCTCGTCTTTCCCTACAGGAAAATATCCTCGATAAATGTTGGGGTTTTCGGAATTCCAAATTTTCCGAAGCAGACCTTTTTTCACTTCTTCTGGTTGTGTGAAAAACCACTGACAACACTTGTACAGTTGATCAAAGTCAACACCTTTAACATTGTTGATAAACAAAAAGCCTGTGTTCTCCAGGGCATGCACAACACTCTTTGCTAATTCCTGTCTGTGGCTTTTGGCTTTTGCCATATCGACTATGGGTAGCTCAAAATTCTCAGGCATTTCGATTCTCTGAAATAACAATAATCAGATTTTAGCATATAGTATTACTTAAGCTGTAATTAACAATTAAACATGCCAGTTGTTCACTTTCACGTAGGAGTATGTTAATTTGCTGAAAGTGACCATGACCAAAATTTCGAAATTTTGACACATCAAAAGTTAACGTTAGGCTACGCCGGTGTAACGTTGAAAAGGGACCCTCGTTGAAAATGGAAACAGGGTCAGTTTTCAACGTTGAAAATAAAACCTAGAAGCCGTTGAAAAAGGAACCTAACGCAAATTTATTTTTTACATACACGTTGAAAATGGACCCCCGTTGAAAAGTGAACCATATGAAAACTTGATACACTGATTTAAAATATCCACTTTCAGTATACTTATGAAGTCCTGCGACCTATTCTAGATAATAACCCAGTATGGATGTCTGACCTAATTAGATCAATGTGACCAATTTTTGGAAATTTGACCTACACTATAAAAACTTGTCATCGGGTTAAGAAATAAACATTAAACTGTTGCTTGACCAAATTGGGTCACTGTGACCTAGTTTTGAAGACTTGACCTTCCTTAGAAAAAATGGTCGTAGGGTCAGAAATTAACATTTAACAGATGTTAGACAAAATTAGGTCACTGTGACCTAACTTTCAAAATTTGACCTACATTATCTACAAGAGTCATACTGTTCTGGTCAGATAATAATATTCAACAATTTTTTGACAAAATAAGGTAACTATATGACCCAATTTTCTAAATTAGACCTACATTATCAAAAAAAATCATAAGGTTTAGAAATTAGCAATTAACAGTTATTTGACAAAATTAGGTCACCTTATTTTGAAAGTTTGACCTTCATTATCCAAAATAGTAATCGGAAAAAGATATTGTAAAAAACACGTTATTTGACCAAATTATTTGAGCTTTATTTAAAGACATTGTCATGGGTTCAGAACTTTTACATATATTTTTCCAAGACAGGTCCATGAGAACTACTTTTTTAGCTAAAGCGTGAGCCGCCAGCTATTGGTATTACTTTAGTTAATGAGCNACATCTATATATGATATAGGACATCTATATGTGATATAGGACATTGATATATGAAATAGGACATCTATATATGATATAGGACATTTATATATGATATAGGACATCTATATATGATATAGGACATCTATATATGATATAGGACATCTATATGTGATATAGGACATTGATATATGATATAGGACATTGCTATATGATATAGGACATCTATATATGATATAGGACATCTATATATGATATAGGACATCTATATATGATATAGGACATCTATATGTGATATAGGACATTGATATATGATATAGGACATCGATATATGATATAGGACATCTATATATGATATAGGACATCTATATATGATATAGGACATCTATATATGATATAGGACATCTATATATGATATAGGACATCTATATGTGATATAGGACATTGATATATGATATAGGACATCGCTATATGATATAGGACATCTATATATGATATAGGACATCTATATATGATATAGGACATCTATATATGATATAGGACATCTATATATGATATAGGACATCTCTATATGATATCGGACATCTATATATGATATAAAACATCTATAAAGATATAGGACATCTATATAAAATATAGGACATCTATATATATGAAATAGTACATCTANCACTGGTACTAAATTGAATCATATACCGGACCTACTGTCTTTATTATGCGTAACTTTGGACTCAAATGCACTTAAATGGCTTGTAAATATCATGCCTTTCCTTTGTAGAACATATGATCTTACCACAACCTCGTATTCTTATTGAAAATGCACCCTGTTTATCTCAATCGGGAACTGCTACTGGACTGTAGGTCATGCATGCTACACGCAGCTTCCGGTAAAAATACTTTAGTTAATGAGCTCAGNTATATGATATAGGACATCTATATATGATATAGGACATCTAACATATGATATAGGACATCTATATAGGATACAGGACATCTCTATATGATATAGTACATCTATATATAATAAAGGACATCTATATATAATATAGGACATCTATATATATGAAATAGTACATCTTTATATGATAAAGGACATCTATATATGATATAAAACATCTATATATGATATAAAACATTTATCTATGATATAGGACATCTGTATATAATATAGGAATCTCTATATGATATAGGACATCTATATATGATATAGGACATCTATATGTGATATAGGACATTGATATATGATATAGGACATTGCTATATGATATAGGACATCTATATATGATACAGGACATCTATATATGATACAGGACATCTATATCTGTAAAAGGACATCTTTATATGATACAGGACATCGATATATGATATAGGACATCTATATATGATATAGGACATCTATATATGATAAAGGACATCTTTATATGATTAGGACATCTATATGTGATATAGGACATTGATATATGATATAAAACATCTATATAGGATACAGGACATCTATATAGATATAGGACATCTATATATGATACAGGACATTGCTATATGATATAGGACATTGATATGTGATATAGGACATCTATATATGATATAGGACATCTATCTATGATATAAAACATCTATCTATGATATAGGACATCTCTATATGATATAGGACATATATATATGATATAGGACGTCTATATATGATATAGGACATCTAACATATGATATAGGACATTGATATATGATATAGGACATCTATATAGGATACAGGACATCTCTATATGATATAGTACATCTATATATGATAAAGGACATCTATATATAATATAGGACATCTATATATATGAAACAGTACATCTATATATGATAAAGGACATCTATATATGATATAAAACATCTATCTATGATATAGGACATCTGTATATAATATAGGACATCTCTATATGATATAGGACATCTCTATATGATATAGGACATCTCTATATGATACAGGACATTTATATATGATACAGGACATCTATATATGATATAGGACATCTATATCTGTAAAAGGACATCTATATATGATACAGGACATCGATATATGATATAGGACATCTATATATGATATAGGACATCTACATATGATAAAGGACATCTTTATATGATATAGGACATCTCTATATGATAAGGACATCTATATGTGATATAGGACATTGCTATATGAAATAGGACATCTCTATATGATATAGGACATCTATCTATGATATAAAACATCTATCTATGTTATAGGACATCTATATATGATATAGGACAACTATATATGATATAGGACATCTCTATATGATATAGGACATCTATATATGATATAGGACATCTATATATGATATAGGACATCTATATATGATACAGGACATCTGCATATGATACAGGACATCTATATATGATATAGGACATCTATATCTGTAAAAGGACATCTATATATAATACAGGACATCGATATATGATACAGGACATCTATATATGATATAGGACATCTAAATATGATAAAGGACATCTTTATATGATATAGGACATCTCTATATGATATAGGACATCTATATATGATACAGGACATTGATATATGATATAAAACATCTATATAGATATAGGACATCTATAATCTATCTATGATATAGGACATCTGTATATGATATAGGACATCTATATATGATACAGGACATCTGCATATGATACAGGACATCTATATATGATACAGGACATCTGCATATGATACAGGACATCTATATATGATACAGGACATCTATCTATGATATAGGACATCTCTATATATGAAGTAGTACATCTATATATGATAAAGGACATCTATATATGATATAAAACATCTATCTATGATATAAAACATCTATCTATGATATAAAACATCTATATATGATACAGGACATCTATCTATGATATAGGACATCTCTATATATGAAGTAGTACATCTATATATGATAAAGGACATCTATATGTGATATAAAACATCTATCTATGATATAGGACATCTGTATATGATATAGGACATCTATATATGATATATGACATCTCTATATGATATAGGACATCTATATATGATATAGGACATCTATATATGATATAGGACATCTATATATGATAAAGGACATCTTTATATGATATACGACATCTCTATATGATTAGGACATCTATATGTGATATAGGACATTGATATATATGAAATAGGACATCTCTATATGATATAGGACATCTATCTATGATATAAAACATCTATCTATGATATAAAACATCTATATATGATACAGGACATCTATCTGTGATATAGGACATCTCTATATATGAAGTAGTACATCTATATATGATAAAGGACATCTATATGTGATATAAAACATCTATCTATGATATAGGACATCTATATATGATAAGGACATCTATATATGATACAGGACATCGATATATGATATAGGATATCTATATATGATATAGGACATCTATATAGGACATCTTTATATGATGTAGGACATCTATATATTATATAGGACATCTATATATGATATAAGACATCTCCATATGATATAGGATATCTATATATCGATATACAACTGTATGATATAAAACATCTATCTATGATATAGGACATCTATATATGATACAGGACATCTAAATATGATATAAAACATCTATATATGATAAAGGACATCTTTATATGATATACGACATCTATATAGGACATCTTTATATGATGTAGGACATCTATATATTATATAGGACATCTATATATATGAAATATGAAACAGTACATCTATATATGATAAAGGACATCTTTATATGATATAGGACATCTATATATGATAAAGGACATCTTTATATGATATAGGACATCTCCATATGATATAGGATATCTATATATCGATATACAACTGTATGATATAAAACATCTATATATGATAAAGGACATCTTTATATGATATACGACATCTATATAGGACATCTTTATATGATGTAGGAC